AGTGCCGCTAGGTTGGGGTGTAGGAGGCAGCCCTGGTCCTGGAAGACCAGATCCGGGCGGGATGGCAACAGCCCTGCCAGGGTAACCACCAGGCTCATGAGGGTCCTGTACCAATGTTGCCTGGGCCACGCCAGGGCAATCAGGAGGACCCGGGCCCTGACCGTCTTTATCTTTTCCAAGACCTTGCCGATCAGTGGGAATGGGGGGAAGGCATAGAGAAACTGGACTGACCAGGATAGGAGGAAGGCATTGGGGATAGCGCCCAGTCCCAGCCCCCCCCCCACCAGAGCAGAACATTGACAGTTCTGCCAAGTCGCGAACAGGTCCACCTGGGGAGTTCCCCACTCTTGGAAAAGTCTGTGCACCACCTCTGTGTGGAGAGACCACTCGTGCTGAGAGGAGAAGTCCCGGCTCAAGCAATCCGCCCGCGAGTTCCAGGTGCCCGGTAGGTGGTAGGCCTGGAGGCAAATGTCGTGGGCTATACAGAAGTCCCACAGCCTGAGGGCTTCCAGGCAGAGGGCAGAGGATCGTCCCTGACTTGCCTGTTGATGTAAAATATCAAGGCCGTGTTGTCCATGAGAACCCTGACCACCCTGCCCTCCAGGTGCGAGCGGAAGGACACACACGCCAGCCAGACCACCCTGAGTTCCTTGATGTTTATGTGGAAGGCCAGGTCCTGAGCAGACCACAGAGGTTGGGTCTGAATGTCCCCCAAATGGGCTTCCCCACCCCAGGTCCAATGCATCAGACACCAGTTCCATCGATGGGGGCTTGCATCTGAATGGGACCCCTCGGAGCATGATTCCAAGGGAGGACCACCATTGTAGGGAGATGATCACCGGCTCAGGCACAGTGAGGACCTTGTCCATTATGTCTGGGGCCTGGGAAAACACCGAGGCCAACCAGAGCTGGAGGGGCCTCATCCTGAGTCTGGTGTAGCGAACCACATATGTGCACGCCGACATGTGTCCGGTGATAGGGAGGCCCTGTCCGACGTGGTGTCCAGAACTACCCCGATAAACTCTATGCGTTGTACTGGGACTAATGTGGACTTGGTGTTGTTCACTAACAGGCCCAGAGTGGTGCACGTGGACAGGAGTGCCACGTGATCCCGCACCTGCAACCAAGAGCTGTCCTTGACCAGCCAGTCATCCAGATAGGGGAAGATCTGGACCCCATGGCATCTGAGGTAGGCTGCTACCACCGACATACACTTTGTGAATACCCTGGGGACAGTGGACAGGCCAAACGGGAAGACCGTAAATTGGTAGTGTTCTTGCACAACCGTGAAACTGAGGAAGTGCCCGTGCCCCTCGAATATATGGATGTGGAAGTACGCGTCCTGCAGATTGAGGGCGGCGTACCAGTCCCCGGGATACAGGGAGGGGATGATGAAGGCCAAAGAGACCATGCGGAACTTGAGCTTCACCATGAACTGGTTCAGGCCTCGCAGGTCCAGGATGGGCCTGAGCCCCCCTTTGGCCTGCGGGATAAGGAAATAGCAGGAGTAGTACCCCTTGCATATGAACTCCGCTGGCACCACTTCCACCACTCCTAGGCCCAGGAGCCGCCCCACCTCCTCCTCGAGCAGAGCCTCGTGAGAGGGGTCCCCCAGGAGGGACAGGGACAGAGGGTGGTTGGGCGGGGTAGAGGTAAACTGGATGGTGTCGCCCCGGGAGATGGTGCTGAGGACCCATTGGTCTGAGGTCATCCGCAACCACTCCGGGAGAAAAGCACACAACTGATTGGAGAAGGGAAGCTTTATTGTGGGTGGATCCCTGATACGAACTGGTAGGTCACCCCCGGGCGTCCTGTCAAAACTGCTGTTTCTCCTCCTGTTTGCCCTTGGAGGACCCAGGCTAGGGGGCGGACCGGGACTGCCTCTACGGGCATTTCTTATAGTCCCGCAACTTTTTATAAGAGGGCTCGTATTTAGCGTGGGTGGCCTGCTGCGGCTTAAACTTAGGTCTAGCCGGAGCCAGAACACAGAGGCCAAGAGTCTTAAGCGTAGTGCGGGAGACTTTGAGGCCATGCGGTTTTATGTCCGTCTGTTCCACAAACGGAGCCTTGCCGTCAAACGGGAGGTCCTGCACCTCACTGAACAGCCCAGACAGCAAAAGCCACAATGCCCTTCTCATGGACACCGCGGAGGCCATGTCAGCCACATCCAATGCTGCCTGCAGGGTTGCCCTGGCAGCCGCTGTACCCTCCTCCACCAGAGCTTTGAATTCCTTCCTGTCACGCTCATGGAGGGAGTCCTTGAATTTGGGCAGAGAGCCCTACAGATTGAACTCATACCGACCCGAGAGAGCTTGACTGTTTGCCACCCGTAACTGAAAACTCGAGGACGAATAAATTTTTCTCCCAAATGAATCCAGCCTCCTTGAGTCTTTATTTTTTGGAGTAGGGGCTGATTGGCCCTGCCGCTCCCTGTGGTTGACTGACTCCACCACCAGGGAGTTAGGGGCAGGGTGGGTATATAGATATTCATGCCCCTTGGCGGGCACAAAGTACTTGCGCTCTGCTCTTGCCCCCCATCTCAAAGAGGAGGCTACCCCTTTGTGAAGTGCCAGGGCCACCCTGACAGGTACTGAGGCAGATAAGATGTTGAAGAGGGAGTCCGAGGGATCCTCCACCTCCTCTGCCTGAAGGTTGAGGTTTGATGCCACCCTTTTCAATAGTTCCTGGTGGGATTGAGAGTCCTCCTGCAGGACAGAGGGAGGAGTGGCTGTAATCGCCACATCAGGGGAGAGTGAGGAGGCGGGCGTGGTATTTTGCATGTCCACCGGCACCGGAGGATCCACCACTTGATTGCTCTCCGGGCACGGCACCAAAGATGCATGTCTCACTGCCTCCGTCCTTGGGAGGCTGGGAGAGGGAGGCCAACGGCCATTCCGGAGGCTGCGTCAGGGGCCATGGGGCCCACTGGTACCACTGTGCCGGCCATGGAGCCTGGTGCCACTGCACCTGCTGTGGCACCGGTGGAGCAGGCTGTTCGGCCTGGCTGGCCTGTCCCATCGATCGACGACTACGAAGGGAGGCCTGGCTGGCGTACGCCCTGCTGCTGTCCCTGGACCGGAAGGAGCGGCGGTGCCGGGAGTGGTGCCAACCAAGAGATCGTGACCCTGACGTGGAGGAATGGTACCGCTGGTAGCAGCTGCTCCGCGATCAGCCCCGGCGGGCAGATCCGCGACGGCGATCGACGCCCAGGAGTGCGGGAGCAAGACAACGAACAGGAACGGCGTCAATGTTCATGTTGTGACTGGCTCTGATAGGTCCTCATCTCCGAGGGGCTTCGGTGGCATCTGCCTCAGTCTCGTCGGTGTCCGCTCCTCGAGGCGGAGCGGTGCCTGGAGTCTTTGTCAGTCGGAACCCAACTGGACAACCTGGTGGGGGTCGACTACGCATGGGACGGTTGCTGAGTGGTGAACGGCGTCGGGAACATTCCCTCAACTGTGACCGGTACTGAGTTGGGTGGCGACTGTAGAGATCCCAGCGGTGGCTTGCCTCTGGACTGCGGAGCCAGCATTGGCAGTGCCTCTGGTACTGGCATGGACATAATGTCCTGGGCCGCTTGCAGGGCCTCCGGCACGGAGGGCATCCAGACATCCAGGGAAGCCTGTTCCAAATGGGCCGGGCTACTCCACTCAACCTGAGTCGGAGGCCTGGAGGCTGATGGGGACCAAGGACTGCCCAACATGGGTCTAGCCTCTCCCCCTGTTTTGCCCCGGTGCCGTGGCAGAGAAGGCCTCTTCTTAGCCTTCTTGGCATGCCCTGCAGACAGGGAGCAGCGCCGACTGGTAGATGGTGCCAGGGGGTCGCCGTGCCAACATCACGGTACCTGGTGCCAATTCGGAGTGACCCCGGCTCCGGCATGCCAACGCTGACCCCATCAGGATGGCCCGGAGCTGAATGTCTCTCTCTCTTTTGGTCCAAGACTTGAATGGCTTGCAAATTTTGCAGCAATCGCTGAGATGGGTTTCACCTAAACAGTGTAAACAGTCCGCGTGCGGATCACTCACTGGCACGGGTCACCTACAAGTGTCGCATGACTTAAAACCCGGGGCACGGGGCATGCCTGGCTCGGGCGCATTAAACTAAACTAAACTAATCAAACTACTTTAATTACAGGTACTACTACACTGAACGAACAAGAGTTCTGGAGGAGAGCTGCAGACAAGCTGGAACAGAGCAGTTCCGAAGCTCCTTCACTGGCGGCAAGAAGGAACTGAGGGTGAGGGGAGCGCACAGCACCCCTTATACTGCACCATGGAGGCGCCACTCCAGGGGTCGCGGGGGGCGCTCCCCTACGGGTACTGCTAGGGGAAAAACTTCCGGCACCGGTGCACATGACGAGCATGCACACCTATTGTGGAATACACATGAGCAATCACTTGAAGAAGAATAAAAGTTGAGAGTCAGGGAGGAGAAGTCCTCAGCTTGAGGATCAGTGCTTTTCAATATCTTGGTAAAAACTGTTTTTGATTTTAGTTGATCTGGATAGGCTAAAACGAGGTACAATGGGAATGTAGACAAGAAGAAATTAAGCAAGTATTTGACACAGTAGATTTCCAGATTAAGTGGTGAAGTAAAGAAGTGTTTGTGTGTTTAACCAAAATTTGGCTATTGGGAGTATCTAACCACACTGGGTGTTGAGGGGATGAGCTCACAGGGGATTAGTGGTTTTTGTTTTGTTTATTTGCTGATCGGGCTTTCCTCCAGATTTTTTGTAGCAATGTTGTTTTCTTGCATTTAATAGCATTTTGCTTTCTTCTGGCATAACATTTCCTCCCATCTCAAGTGTTTGAATTTGGGGGAAAAAAAAAAACCTTTAAAATGTTTTAAGCTAACAAATTCCATAGCAGAGATGGCAGCATTGTTAAAGCCTTCCACAAATATAGGCGGGTCATATATAAACTATAATTGCAATGCCACCTGATGGGCATTCCTCCTAGACTGAAGGACAAAGATCACTAAAGGAACATAGCTGGGTAAGTTACCTGGATCTGTGCTCTGTTTCCAGCTGTAATGTTGGATATTGTCCAACATGCCTCCTTTTTGATAGACTCCTTAGGGCTGCTCAGCAAGTGCAATAAACTTTGCAGAGCTGAGCAATTCAGAATTACCTGAAGAGAGAGACAGAGAGAGACACACACACCTTAGACTGTGTCCAGAAAAGACAGCCATTTGAACACAGGTGGGGAGGGATAGCTCAGTGGTTTGATCACTGGCCTGCTAAACCCAGGATTGTGAGTTCAGTCCTTGAGGGGGCCACTTGGGGATCTGGGGCAAAATCAGTACTTGGTCCTGCTAGTGAAGGCAGGGGGCTGGACTCGATGACCTTTCAGGGTCCCTTCCAGTTCTAGGAGATAGGTACATCTCCATATTATAAAAAAAAAAAAAATCCCTAAAAGGAAAGACCATCACCAACATTTATCTAGCACTTTTCACCAGATGTTCGCAGAATGTTTCACAAAATAGTAATTAATCCCCTTGTTAAGTAAATAAGTGTTGTCCTCATTTTATGGACAGGGAAACTGATGCACAGAGAAATTAAGTGATTCAGTGCAGGGACCATGTGTTTAATACGTATTTATACAGCACCTAGCATAATGTGAGGTCCTGGATCCAAATGTGGCCCTAATGAACATGAAGGAGGTTTTGTTTTTTGTTTTTATTGGTTTTCTTTTTGCACTGAGACTCCTTAAATAGACAGGCTCTGCATTTCTTTGGCTCTCTAGTTCCCTGCTTCACTTTCTCAGCCTGTGAGGCCTGGTCCACACTATAACTGACTCCTGGATTCCAGTTGTGAACACCAAGATTCCCCCCAGAATGGATTTCTGTGACCGAGTTATATACGAAAGAAGCTGGTTGTTAAATACAACAATGTTAACATAACCCTCAGATATGGGCTATAAACAATGCACTGTGACAATTAGAAAGATCACACAACTGTCTCAAGCACTACTTCTGTTAAACTGAAACAGAATGTTTCTGGTTGCTATTAACTGGTCTTCCTACCTGAACTCAGTGTTATGAAACTGAAGAAGATATATCAAAATGATGTATTCTCATACACGATATGTCATCAGTGAACTAATGAACTCATTACTGGGTTAGGAAAAGACAGTGAGCTTTTCCGTAACTGGTGTTCTTCGAAATGTGTTGCTCATGTCTATTCCACAGTAGGTGTGCGTGCTCGCCACGTGCACCGGTGCCAGAAGTTTTCCCCCTATCAGTACCAGTGGGGGGGAGCGCCTCCCATGACCCCTGGAGTGGCGCCTGCCTGGTGCAGTATAAGGGGAGCTGCGCGCTCTCCCCACCCTCAGTTCCTTCTTGCCAGACAACTACGGCAGAAGGGAAGGAGGGCGGGATGTGGAATAGACATGAGCAACACATCTTGAAGAACACCAGTTACGGAAAAGGTAACTGTCTTTTCTTCGAGTGATTGCTCATGTGTATTCCATAGTAGGTGATTCCAAGCTATACCTATTGGAGGTGGGTAGGAGTTCACAAGTTCCTGGGACGGAGTACCGCCCTGCTGAACCCGGCATCATCCCTGGTTTGGGAGACTATCGCATAGTGCGAGGTGAACGTGTGAACCGAAGACCACGTGGCTGCCCTACAAATGTCTTGTATAGGGACGTGGGCCACGAAGGCAGCCGACGAGGCCTGCGCCCGCATCAAGTATGCCCTCACAATGGGCAGTGGCGGGACACCCACCAGCTCGTAACGGGAGTGGATGCACGAAATGATCGAGTTGGAAAGCCACTGCGTGGAAATCGGCTGGCCCCTCGCGCGCTCAGCCGAGGCGATGAACAGTTGCAAGGACTTTCTGAATGGCTTGGTTCGCTCAGAAAGTAGAAAGCCAGAACCCGCCGCACATCGAGCATGTGGAGACGGCGCTCCTCACTAGTTGCGTGAGGCTTGGGGCAGAGGACTGGTAGAAAAATGTCCTGACTCATGTGGTAGGCAGAGACCACCTTCGGAAGGAACGCGGGGTGTGGGCGGAGCTGGACCTTGTCCATATGAAAGACTGTATATGGCGACTCGAAGTTCAGGGCTCTGAGCTCCGAGACCCACCCGGCCAATGTGACAGCAACTAGGAAGGCCACGTTTCACGAGAGGTGAGACCAGGAACACGTGGCTAACGGTTCAAACGGGGGGGCCCCGTAAGACAGGCCAGCACCAGATTCAGGTCCCATTGTGGGACCAGGGGCTTAGAATACAGGTAAAGCCGGTCCAAACCCTTAAGGAACCAGCTGGTCATAGCATGGGAGAACACAGTGTGTCCTTGCACTGGGGGATGGAAGGCCGATATGGCCGCCAGGTACACCGACTAATGAGGGTGCCAGGGCCTGGGCCCTCAGGCGGAGGAGGTAATCAAGGACAAGCTGGATCGGGGTGGCCAGTGGGGACACACCTTGGTCTGTCGCCCACCTCGAAAACCGAGACCACTTTGCCATGTAGGAGCGGCGAGTGGAGGGCCGTCTACTTTCGAGGATGCGCTGAACCTGTGCTGAGCATGCCCTTTCCTCGCCACATAGCAACTGAGCAGCCACGCCGTGAGGTGAAGAGCTGCCAGGTTGGGGTGGAGGCAGTGGACCTGGTCCTGAAAGAGCAGGTCTGGGCAGAGCGGCAACAGTCATGGTGGAGCCACCGCCAGGCCCGAGAGGGTCCCGTACCATTGCTGCCTGGGCCACGCCAGGGCAATGAGGACGACTCTGGCTTTGTCCATCTTTATTTTCTCCGGGACCCTGCTGATCAGCGGGAATGGGGAAAAGGCATAGAGAAGCTGGCTTGATCAGGACAGGATAGAGGCAGCAGAGATAGCGCCCCTTCCTAGGCCCCCCCTGGAGCAGAACCGAGGGCATTGTCGGTTCTGCCGGGTCGCGAACAGGTCCACTTGGGAAGTTCCCCACCTTTGGAAGAGCTGGTGGTCCACTTCCGGGTGTAGAGACCACTCGTGCTGAGAGAAGAAGTCCTGGCTCAAGCGATCCACCCTCACGTTCCGGGCACCCAGCAGGTGAAAGGCTTTTAGGTGGATGTCGTGGGCTATACAGAAGTCCCACAGACTGAGGGCTTTGTGGCAGAGGGCAGAGGATCAGGCCCCGCCTTGCCTGTTGATATAGAACATCGAGGCTGTGTTGTCCATGAGAACCCTGACCACCTTGCCCTTCAGGTGTGAGTGGAAGGCCATACATGCCAGCCGCACAGCTCTGAGTTCCTTGACGTTTATGTGAAGGGTCAGGTCTTGCAGAGACCACAGGCCTTGGGTCTGAAAATTCCCCACATGGGCCCCCCAGCCCAGGTCCGATGCATCGGACACCAGCTCCAACAATGGGGCCCTGTCCCTGAACAAGACCCCTTGGAGCATGTTGCTTGGTGTGGACCACCACCGCAGGGAGGTGATCACCGAGTTCGGCACGGTGAGGACCTTGTCCATTCTGTCTGTGGCCTGGGAGAACTGCGAGGCCAGCCAGAGCTGGAGGGGCCTCATCCCGAGTCTGGCGTGGCGGACCATATACATGCACGCCGACATGTGACCTAGCAGCTGCAGGAAAGCCCTGGCTGTCATCACCGGGAACCTTGCGATCGAGTCGAACTTGGGTTTTGCCGGAGCAGGGACATAGAGACCCAAGGTCTGGAGGGTCGTGCGGGAGTCTTTCATGCCGTGCAGCCTTGCGTCTGTCTCCTCCACAAACAGCGCCTTCCTGTCGAAAGGGAGATCCTGCATGGACGATTGCGCATCGCTGGATAGCCCAGAGAGCAGGAGCCATGACACCCGTCTCATGGACACCACCGAGGCTATGGACCGAGCGGCCGTGTCTGTTGCATCCAAAGCGGCCTGCAGGGATACACTTGTGGTCGCTGCCCCTTCCTCCATGAGCACCTTAGACCAGGGGTCTCCAAACTACGGCCCGCGGGCTGGATACAGCCCATGGCTTCGATTTGTCCAGCCCCCCAACCAACATCGCATCGGGCGGCGGGACCCCGGCTGGCAGGAGCCTGCGGCAGGAATCCCAGAGCAGCGGCGGGCTGAGCAGCTCAGCCCACCACCGCTCTAGGGTTCCCGCCGCGCGCACGTGCCAGTCTGTCTCAGCCCGCTGCCAGCCTGGGTTCCTTCACCCAGGCCAGCAGTGGGTGCTGGGTGGGGTCAGTGGCGGGACCCCGGCTGGCAGGAGCCCGTGGCGGGAACCCCAGAGCAGCGGCGGAACTTCATGATGTCACTGCATTCCTGCCATGGTCGCAGTGCCAATGAGCTCTCAGTAGGTAGGTTAGTAGCGGCAGAAGGAACCGGATGTATGATGAGTCATTGTTGTTTCCCTCGGTTTTTGTCTTAGCGCGTATCAGACTAGTGACAAACGTATATTCGTTATGTTTAAGTCCACTGCTATTGGGGCAATTATGTTGGGAAAAGGACAGAAGAGAAAGGTTGATTCTGAATGTCGCGTGCTTAAAGAACAATGGAGTGTGGACTATTTCGGTATCAAATCAGGTAGTAAAGCATTGTGTTTAATATGTAACGAAACTATTGAAGTGCTAAAAGAATACAACATTCATAGACATTATGAAACCAAGCACTTGTTGAACTACTCTCAATTTATGGGAAAGCTACGTTCAGATAAATTAGAATCCATGAAACGTGGCTTATCATCACAACAGTTTATATTTAAGAAGAAGAAAACCGAGAACGAAGCTGCAACGAGGGCCAGCTTCTGAGTGGCACACCTATTAGCAAAACGAGGAAAACCATTTACTGGTGGCGAGCTAGTTAAAATATGTATGATTCAAGCAACTGAAGAAATATGCCCAGAAAAAGTAGATTTATTTAAGGTCTTTTGGTGAACACAGTTGCTCGCAGAATCGAGGACACTGGCAGTAATATAATTTTCCAGCTGAATGAAAAGGCTAAGAAGTTTGAGTGGTTTTCCCTCGTACTTGACGAGTCAACCGATGTTTCCAATACTTTGCAGCTGCTGTTGTTTATTCGCTGTGTTGGCAGTAATTTTGACGTTTCGGAAGAACTAGCTTCTGTGCATAGTATGCATGGAACAACCACAGGTGAAGAGATTTTTCAAAGAAATTGAAAAGTCACTTTCTCAATACAACCTGCAATGGAAACAACTGAAGTGTGTTACAACCAATGGCAGTAGACACATGTGCGGTTCAAAAAAAGGTTTGGTTGGACAAATCTACAAAGCTTTGTGAAAGTGTGGGCTGTCCCAAGCCTATGATTTTTCATTGCATTCTTCATCAGCAAGCATTGTGCAGGAAATATTTGGATTTGTCATGTGTTATGGAACCCGTAGTCTCAACCGTGAATTTCACTTACTTGCATGGACTTAACCATAGTCAGTTCCAAGCATTTCTGGTGGAAATAGAATCAGAATATCATGATTTGCCCTACCACACTTCAGTTCGATGACTTAGCTGTGGAAAGTTTGTGTCGTGATTTTTCAAGCTTAAAACTGAAATTGAAATGTTCTTAAATAAAAAAAACCAACCTCTACCTTTACTCACAAACAGTGAATGGCTTTGGAAATTAGCTTTTTTCATAGACTTGACCAAGTACATGAATGACTTCAATCTTAGACTACAAGGGGAAAACGGGCTTATCTGTGACATGTACTCCCAGGTGAAAGCATTCAGGCAAAAACTAGTTATTTTCGAGTCCCAACTGATGAGGGACTGCTTTGCTCATTTTACATGTTGTGAAAAGTTCAACCAAGAAACTGAATCACAATTCCTAACTAGGTTTGCACAAGAAATCATTTCTGATCTGAAACTACAATTCCAGGAGCGTTTCTCTGACCTTGATGTGAATGCAGGAGAAATATGGATCTTCCAAAACCCATTTGATTGCGATCTTGAAACACTGCCACCTGAACTTCAAATTGAAGTGACTGACCTGCAATCCAATGACTTGTTGAAGGACAAATATAAGAAAGGAAATCTGATAGAGTTCTATAAATGCCTGCCAAGTGATCATTATGCCCATGTAAAAAACTTTGTCTGTGGATTAATGTCAGTGTTTGGTACTACTTATGTGTGTGAAAAAACATTTTTGATGATGAAATATGTGAAATCCAACTACAGATTGACCTTGTCTGATGAACATTTACAATCAATTATGATGATAGGGAACACTAACTTTGAACCACAGCCAAATGCAATTTTGTCAGAAAAACATCAGTACCATACTTCTCACTAATCCTAAAATAATATTTCTTTTTTTAATGATTTTGCATATATTTAATTTTTTCAGTCGCTTCAGCCCACGAAGCCCCTTCAAAAATCTAATACGGCCCTCGTCTCAAAGTTTAGAGACCCCTGCCTTAGACTCTTTTCTATCGCGCTCCCGGAGGGAGTCCTCGAACTTGGGGAGGGATCCCCAGAGATTAAATTCGTAGCGACCCAGGAGAGCCTGATTGTTTGCTACTCTTAGCTGGAAGCTTGATGACGAATAAACTTTTCTCCCGAAAGCATCCAGCCTCTGAGAGTCTTTGTTCTTAGGAGTCGGGGCTGGCTGCCCCTGCCGCTTCCTGTGGTTGACCGACTCAAGGAGTTGGGTGCCGGGTGGGTATACAAATTTTCGTGCCCCTTACTGGGTACAAAGTACTTGCACTCCGCCTTCTTAGAGATGGGAGCCAATGAGGCTGGTGTTTGCCACAGGGCATTTGAAATTCTTGCCACCCCTTCATGGAGCGGCAAGGCCACCCTGCCCAGTGCCAAGGAGGACAGCACATTGAACAGAGAGTCTGAGTGCTCCTCCATCTCCTCTGCCTGGAGGTGAAGGTTTACTGCCACCCTTTTTAAGAGCTCTTGGTGGGCCCGGTAGTCCTCCTGCGGGACGGAGGGGGGCAGGGCCGCAATCAGCTCCTCCAGACAGGGCGAGGAGGCCGGTGCGGTGCTTTCGGTGTCAGCTGGCACCGGAGGATCCACCACCTGGTCGGACTCTGGGCATGGCGCTGAGGATATGGGTTCCACCAACTCCTTTCTTGGTGGTCTAGGGATGGAGGCCGATGGTACTTCCGATGCCTCGGCCACCGAGTGAGTCCCTATGAGGAGCTGCACCAGGGGCCACGGTGCCCACTGGTACCACTGGGCCGGCCATGACTCTCGGTGCCACTGCACTTGCTGAGGCACCGGTGGGGCCGGCTGATTGGGCTGCCTAGCCTGGCCTGTAGACAAGCGACTGTGAGCGGAAGCCAGGCTGGCGTACAACCCGCTGCTCTCTGGACCGGGAGTGGCGGCGGTGCCAGGATGTACGTCGACCACGGGACCGCGACCTCGAGGCGGAAGAACGGCACCGACGGTAGTAGCTGCTCCACTAACAGTCTCGCAAGGTGCCAGCGATCGACACCCGGAGCTACGGTGCCTTGGCGGAAACTTGGAGCAGGAGCCCGGGCAGGAAGGGCGTCGATGGCCATGATGCAACCGACTGCAGTACCTCCTTCGAAACAAGGACCCTGGCGACGTCCGCCACGGTCCTATCGGTATTCACTCAGCAAAGATGAGCAGTGCCAGGAGTCCCGATCGGATGGCACCCATCCAGATAGCCTGGCTGGTGTCGAGGGCGATCCACATGGACTGAGCCCTGAACGGTCACTGGGCAGTGAGTGGTGTCGGGAACATTGCCTCAACCGAGACCGGTACCGGGCCGGTGGTTACTGCGGCAATCCCAGTGGTGGCTTGCCTCTGGAGCGTGGGGCCGACATCGGCGGAGCTCCAGGAACCGGCATGGACATAACATCCATAGCCGCCTGGAGGGCTTTGAGCGTAGATGGCATCCGGAGAGGCCTGCTCCGAAGGGGCCGGGCTACTCTGCTCAACGTGAGTCAGAGGCCTAGGGCCCGGTGGGGATCGAGGCCTACCCAACATGGGCCTAAGCCTCTGTCCCAGACTTCCCTCGGTGCCGTTGCAAAGAGGAAGTCTTTCCGGTCCTCTTGGCATGCCCCGTGGAAGGGGAGCAGTGTCGACTAGTCTCCGCATACCGACGCCGCAGTGCTGGGTACCAGTTTGGAGCGGCGTGCTGGGGTCGGGGTCAGCCCCGACTCCATCAGGATGGCCCAGAGTCTAATGTCCCTAATGTCTATGTCCCTTTTGTTCTTTTAGTCCGGGGCTTGAACGACTTGCAGATCTTGCACCTTTCACTGATATGGGTTTCTGCTAAGCAGCGCAGACAGTCTGTGTGCAGGTCACTCCTTGGCATAGAACGCCTGCAAGAGCCGCACGACTTAAATCCCGGGGCACGCCCCGGCCCGGGCTCACTAACTAACTAAACTTAACTGAAAAGCTAACTGGCTACAGGTACTACTGAACTAACAACAGTTCTTCTGGGGACAAGCTGCAGCAAAGCTAGAGCTGAGTAGTTCCAACGCACCTTCACTGGTGGCAAGAAGAAACTGAGGATCGGGGGAGCGCGCAGCTCCCCTTATACTGCACCATCAGGCGCTACTCCAGGGGTCGCGGGGGGCACTCCCCCCCTACGGGTACTGCTAGGGGAAAAACTTCCGGCACCGGTGCACATGGCGAGCACACACACCTACTGTGGAATACACATGAGTAATCACTCGAAGAACCACCTGGATTTCAGCTTTGGCACAGACCACAAAGAAAAAGGAATTTAGTGCTTTCAACCTAGAACTTGGAGGACATTAGGCCACATCATAGAATAACCACAAAATTCAGCATAACAGGTAGTTTTTGCTTGGGACAGAACTAAAACAGGAATACTTAGAGGGTGCTGCAGTTCAAGACTGACCAGCATTTACATACCTATATGGGAACCCAGTCTTGGAAAAGCATGGTCAGGATTGAATGCAGTGATGGAGGTTTGCATGAAAGCTTGAAAAAAAACATGTTCTGCTGCGATCAGTTCCCTGTTTGAGCTCCAAAAATGACAGTTTTTAATAAAAGGAAAATGTCAAGGCTTGTGACTATATAAATTACCCTTGCTAACTAAGAGAAAGGAAGATGGTATTACAAGACAGTAGTAGAGGAAGCCATACCTGGGTCTGGATATCATCCCCTGTCACAATGTTCCCGACTGCTCGTAAGGCAGGAGATACCACTTTGTAGTCACTGTGCCTACAAGTCAAAGCAAAGACTTAGATTAAGCAGCCCAAAAGTATCTGCACCTCCACCCTTTAGTCAGGACCCACTGCCACCTTGTTAGCCCCAGGAGAATTCTCCTGCCAAGTTTGACTGAAATTACTGAATTTGTTTTAGAGTTAGAGGCAAGCTAAAATGCATTTTGATTTGAAACTAGTAGCTTTTAAATGTCTGACACTTAACTAGAGCACAGGCTTTAAACAAAACACAACGACCAACACATTGGCCATGATTTTAAAAAGTAAGTGCCTCAACTTAGACTCTTAATTCTAAACTCTAAAGGCACCTGAAAAAACGGCCTGGTTTTCAAAGAACACCAAGCACCCAGGCTCCTCTCATTGACTTGGGAACCTAACTAAGTTCTTGACCATTGCTGTCTAATCCATTGCAATGTAGGAATATGATGATGAAACATAGCTCTCAGAGGTTATAATCTAATACATATAAATTTGGTGAAGAATTCACTGTGGTAGGGGTACCAGTATTTTTCCCTGACAACTTTATCAAAACCAAAGGGAAATTTCCAGATAAACGGATAAAGACTATTAAGATTAAATCTAATTTGTAAATGTGTCTCAAAAACTTAGTGTGAAAATCTTAAAGGAACCCTGTTAGCTTGTGAACTGATTTTCAGAAGTGCTGAACATCCACAGTTTTAATGGATAGAAGCTGCCCAGAACCTCTGAAAATCAGTCATCTGAAATCTAGTTAATTTTAAAAGTGTAATTAAAGTACTTATATAATATGAGTCAATAGCGTAACACTGTTACAAAAAAGGTAAATATCATTCTGGGATGTATTAGCAGGAGTGTTGTAACCTGTATGAAATTTGTTTCTGTATGAAATACTCACAACATGGAAAATAACTTACTAGCTATAAAAGGGAAACAATGAAACTGACTGCACACAAACTGCTGCCAAATGCACAAAATATACTAATTACCAAAAAAAAAAAATCTAATCTCTAAAGGCAACTTTAGTACACATTTTTGGTCACTAGTTCCTTAGAATTTTTTTTTAATTGTTTGGAGGGTTTTATTAGTCAGAGTGTAAATTAGAATTTCTTTTTCATACGAAACTGAATTTCCCTCTTCCCCTCAACACCAGACAAAAAATAAATGACTCATGACTGTATCTTCAATTGGACCACATTCTGGCAAGCAAAATGTCTTCCTATTAACAGAATTTCTGTTGGAGTGGCAGGGACCTTAGGAAATTATCTGCATCTAAATTACCTGAAATTGTTAATTCTGATAAAGTTTGATTAATTCTCAAGTTTCTGTATCTCTTTTCTCATTCTTTAGTGATTCCATCATTAGAGGATGGTGATATGGCCCCTAATAGGATGGAGAAAATTCTAGGAAATATTTTATAATTCCTAAGAGATTAATTGTATAAGACTCTCTGATATGCAAAATCAATATCCTTTCTATGAAAGAATGAAACGACTATAATATTACACTTCCACAGGCTGAGCTGCCTGCTGTTATTCCTGGCCATTTTGTGTGTCTGCTCAATATAAAAGAGTCAGGAAAATAATTTAGAGTATTTAAATCAGGGTTTTACCAACTACCACATATATTTATTTAACATTTTTAAAGCAGTTTATAATTAATTATTCTTTACCCTAAATTTAATGCATCTATTGCTTCCATAGGAGGTGATTTTGCTTTATTTTTTTTCCTGAGCCACATGTTCCTTTTCAAAGACACGCTATTGGTTCAGTTCAATTTTGGCATGTACCGTGACTGGAAATCAGGTTACCTTATCAACTTTTAGATCCATTCTTAAGGAACAAGTTATACTTGTTTTTCCAGAAGTTTCACAAACTATTTTTTATATTTATGATTGATCAATGGTACCATTTTATTGAAGAACAAACTGAGAAAAAGTAGAAATGGTACTGTTTCCTCTAATGATAAGACAGACATTAAAAATAAAATAGCAAGTAGCATCTTTTTCAGTGATTTTCTCTCATACTGCATTTTTAGTAAGTGATTATTAGGTTCTGTTTATTACGGGGTTATCCTCGAGCCATTTTAGCAAGAGAGTTGTCTCTTTTCTTATTTTTTTACTGCTCTTTCTTTACACATTTTGTAGGGCTTTGTATTAATGCAGTCATGTCTTGAGGTTAGAGAACAGACTAAGATGTGTATGGACTGAATTTGCTTAAGTCCCATTTTTGTAACTTCGGTATAAAATAAACTGTTGTACCAAATTTCAGTTTTAACGGGATCTTAAAAAGCTATTTTTCAAAATCAAGTTCTTTCTTTTTTTAAAATATATTGTTTATACTCTAGAAACTGTTTATACTCAGTATGAAAGACTAAACGTTTTTCTGAAAATTTCTGCATAAATTTGTAAACGTGGATGCCTAATATCAGGCTCCTAAATCCATATATAGGTACCAAAATAAAATGTCAAAATGTATAGAAGTGCTGATCACTGACAATTCCCATTAAAGTCAAAAGGAGCTGCAGGGAGTCTGCATTTCAGAAAAAATCAGTCCACTTTTACTTAGGGGTCTGAACATTATTTAGAAGTCTAATTTTGGGCACCAAGGATTGAAAATGTTGATCCCAATTTTTAACCCCTTTGTTCTGAAGTTGATTTCAAATCCCAATCCCCTCAATTCTCCTGTGCCCCAATTTATTGCACAAGGAAAGTAGCAACAAAGTCTGAGAATTGCTCTTGGTCTGTAGTCCCTCAAGTTCACCCACTTGCTATTGATGGCTCTTCTGCAGCAGCCTTTGAGAAGAGCAGGGACTGTACAAGAGGTGAACAAGCTGGTTTTAAGCCAGGAAACTGACTGTTTAACCCTACTGTTGCAGAAATTCTACCTAACCTTTCTATTGTAGGAAGTTGAGCTGTGAGGAAGCTGTAAAGAGGTAACAGTGAGTAATACATTTGTTTAAAGTGAAGTTCTTACATCAGCAGCTCGACAAGTCTTCTGCACACTCCTGCATCAATCACAGCTTGGATTTTATCATTAGGTCCATCAGACAAATATGACAGGGCCCAGCAGGCATCAGCTAGCACATCTGTGTCATTGACAAAGAGCAGCCAGGACAGCACACTCAGACAGGGTGCAACCTACATTAAGTAGAAAAAGCAGATGTATGAACAGTGGAATTCAAAGGGCCAAGACAGCTGGTAGGAGTATTCTAAAAGCAAGTATTGCTTTTGACTACTGAGCATTCTAGAAAACTTGGAGAACCTAAATACTTCCATGCAGTGTCCAATCTACATGGGGAAGCAGGAGTGAATTCTGCTTCAACCTCAGAAGTGTAGACATGGTCAGACATGCAGCAGCACATATCACCACAGAAGAAACTGGGAACATCAGTGTGACATTCAGAATCAGTTATATGCTTTCCAGCCCCTGCACAAGTTGCAGCTATTACCGCTAGTGCCCCATAATGCTTTGTCAGGCGCTGGACTATCCAGCAGCAAAGTCACCAGCTTAGTATAAGTGTCCCACCCACTTTCAGACCTGTGCCATAAGTAAAATGGCATGAGCTCAAAGCAGTGTGGCATTAGGGAGAGGTCTTAAATACATTCATGCAGAACCCCACAACTTCCTGTTAGACTAAGCAACTCAGCAACCATCCTGCCTGTATCACTTGTGGCAGTGCCCTATGAAGCCCTGCCAATAGTGATTGCTCCTCCTGTTCAAACTAGGTGCATGCTGTGTACATACCATTTGTTACTACGAGTGCATAGTAAATGCCAGACTTTGCTCAGTGTAAATAGGTATGGCACAGTATTGAAGACATAATGGGTAGGATTGCAGATAGTTTGTTCAATACTTCCCATTCCACCAACACCAACACCTCCCGACGAGTGTCAAACACTCATATAATTGGCGTTCTGATCTCCAGAAGATAGCAAGTCTTCATTCATATGTTAGCAGGACTAGTTTGGAAACTGATTTTTTCATAAAATATCTTTCTCTGAAAAACACTAACCATTCAAAAACCCCACCTCTATCAGTTGTCTAAGAGGTGGACCTGGAGGTACCATTTTAGTTCCTTGTAGAGAGCTGTCCACATCACAAAAAATCATCATCTCAGTTGGTGCTAATTCACACACACACACACACACACACACACACACACACGTTGATAGTCTCAGCGAGAGGGGGCAAAGAGTAACTGGGTCATGAAAAATGAACTCCCTCTCTTTTCTAGAGGTGGTGTCCATGTTAGAGGTGAGACATATTGGCAAGGGCAGTACACATGAGAGAAACTTGCACTGCAGCTGACAATATACTGGACCTAATTCTATGAATCAAGAACTTTACTTCCCAAGCTGTCAATCTATGCACATTTCAACAGCACTAAGCACGCTCAAAAACAAGCCTGATTTGTAAGAAGTCTGTTCAAACAGAAATTTTGGAAGTCCCAAATGTTTCTGCTGCTTTGTACTAAACATCACAATGCCTTTCTTTCTTCCTTATTTATGGACACCATCTCACTACCTCTCAAATCCTTGATTTCTTTAACACATTTCTTACCTTGGCAAACTCTGGAGGAGGATTCTTCCCTCTGCAGAGGTTCGATAGAGCCCACACAGCATTTCGGGTCATGGTGAGACGGTTCTGTTTTGAAAGTAATCTGAACATTAAAAACAAAACAGTCAAGGTCTTTACTTCTAAACTCAGTCCAAGAGCAAAGCACACTATAGTGCTGTTATTTCAGATGCATGAAGCATTTAAGGTGGCCTAAAGTCCAGCTTAGAACGTTTACATTAAACATGTGTCCACTGGTGAAATAAGAATCAGAGACATATGCTCCCCACCTGCAGAGCCACTCCCTGTGGATTTTGCTAGTCCAGTGGCACTTTTGATGCGTCAAAGTTGTTTGACAAAAAAAAACTGCTATTTTGTTAAAGATCAGGATCTCCACGAAAGTTTTCAATTGATTTAGGAGCTTTGCTCCTCAACTGACAATGTTTTTATAGAGAACAGGATCTTTGAGAAAAGCAACAGCAATTGTGTTAAAGATCTTGTTCTGCATGAAACAGTTCTGCTGGCTCAATAGCTCTACCACTCCTAAAATAATCTGAACAATTACATAGCATCCTGGTCTTCGTGAAAGTAACTACTATGATCTTTAACTGGCTGAATAGTTTCATGAAAACAGATCTTTGACAGAACGTGGGCCAGCTAAAAAAGTTCACAAAGAACAGAAACTGCAACTAAACCACTACTTTGACAAACAGGATCTTCATGAAAGTGGAATCTGTTTTCATTAAACAAGTCATTGTTGTGTCAAAGCTTCACTTTTAATCTCTCAGCATTATTCATTGCAACTAAATCCTCATGTGTAATGGTTAGCTGGGGGAGGAGAACGACATGGTTCCTTTTCAAAGAGGAAAATATATATGGCTTGGCCTAGGCTTTCCCAAATACAAAAGAATAGTAACTGTGGTTCTTCGAGATGTGTGGTCATTCCACTCAGTGTGAATATGCCCCACACAAGGAAGATCTGATTCTTTAAAACAGCAGTGTCTATTTGGGTCATGCATGTGGCCTGAGTGCTCTCTTGTTCCCCATAGCAGAGGGCAATTTAGGGAGGGGTGGTTGGAATCTGCACTCCATTCCTTCACCTATAAGAATCCCATAGATTAGAAGCAGGACTCCTATTAGCAGGCCTGGAAGGCAGATTGTGGAATCTGTGTGGACAACATATTGATTCATAGATTCCAAGGCCAGAAGGGACCACTGTGATCATCTAGTCTGACCTCCTGTATAACACAGGCCATACAACTGCCCCAAAATAATTCCTAGAGCAGATCTTTTAGAAAAACATCCAAACTTGATTTTAAAAATTGTCAGTGATGGAGACTCCATCACAATCCTTGGTAAACTGTTCTAATGGTTAATTACTCTCACTGTTAAAAATTTACACCTTATTTCCAGTCTGAATTTGCCTAGCTTCACCTTCCAGACACTGGATCATGTTATATCTTTCTCTGCTAGATTGGAGAGATCATTATTAAATATCTGTTCCGCATGTAGATATATAGTCTGTAAGTATGTCATCCCCTTAGCCTTCTCTTTCTTAAGCAAAATAGATTGAGTTCTTTCAGTCTATCAATATAAGGAATGTTTTTTAATCCTTTAATCAGTCTCGTGGATCTTCACTACACTTTGCTACATTAAAACGTATACTACTTGTGCCCGGTTTACCAATTGATCTGTCCTCTTCATTATTTTCCATTCCCCCAGTTTTGGGTCATCTGCAAACTTTATCACTGATGATTTTATGTTTTCTTCCAGGTCATTGACAAAACATGTTAAATACCATAGGGCCAAGAACTGATTCTGGTGGGACTCCACTGGAAACATCTGCTTGATGACCTCCCATTTATAATGACATTTTGAAAGTTGGACGGTGAGATAATATCTTTTAGTGGACCAACTTCCATTGGTGAAAGAGACCAACATGGCTACAACACTGCAAACATTTTGAGATCTATCAGTTAGCCAGTTTTTAATCCATTTAATGTGTGCCATGTTAATTTTATACTGTTCAAGATTTTTAATCAAAATGTAAAATCGTTCCAAGTCAAAAGCCTTACAGAAATTTAAGTATATTACATCAACACTATTATCTTTATCAAGCAATTTTGTAATCTCATCCAAAAAAGATATCAAGTTAGTTTGAAAAGATCTATTTCCCATAAACCCATGCTGATTTGCATTACATCACCTGCCATTAATTCCTTATTAATCAAATTCCTTATCAGCCACTCCATTATCTTGCTCAGGATAGAATCATAGAAGATTAGGGTTGGAAGAGACCTCAGGAGATCATCTAGTCCAACCCCCCTACAAAAAAAGTGTCTAACCTGCATGCTTGCATCAGGGAACAATACATGTTAAAGGTGTGGATCTGTCCTACACAACCCTGATATGGGAATGTTATCTACACAGGCCATACAGGCTGCCTGAGCCTGTAGAAGGAGGTTTAACCTGTTCAGGTGGGTCTTTCTTAGACAAAACAATAACAGTCCAATACACTTGGACAGTTTAAGGGCTGGTCCACACTGGGGCGGGGGATCGATCTAGGAAACGCAACTTCAGCTACGAGAATATCGTAGCTGAAGTTGACGTTTCCTAGATCGAACTAAGTTTACTTACTGCGGGTCCACGCGTCGCAGGCAAGTTCCCCCGTCGACAACGCTTCCTCCTCTCGGCGAGCAGGAGTTCCGCAGTCGACGGGGGAGCACTTCTGGGATCCATTTATCGCGTCCAGATGAGACGCGATAAATCGATCCCAGAGATCGATCTCTACCCACCGAATCGGGCGGGTAGTGTCGACCTAGCCTAAGACAATGGAAGTTATCCCTTAACCCTTTCAACAAAAGCCACAAAGTCTAGGTGTACATCTGAATACCTTAGTCCTAGGCAAGTAAAATTCATGACATCCTATATGTGAAATTTTGCCTGGGGGGGTGGAATGCAGTTTGGAGATGAAAACCAGGAGTGAATCAACTAACTGATGTGGAAGTCGGAAACCACCGTAGGCAGAAACTTCAGGTGAGGCCTGAGACTGTGACTTTGTTTTCATGAAAGATAGTGTACAGAGGACCCGTCATGAGGCCCTGAATCTCTACCCTGCTAAAGACCATCAACAGGTGGTAAACGGAACATGTAGCCAGTGGTTCAAAGGGAGGACCTATCAGTGCAGTGAACACCAGGAGAGAGGGAGAGTGGTTCTTGGGCTAGCAGGAAAACACATGAGCCCCTGAAGGAATCTCGTCACTGCAGGCTGCAAGACAACAGTGTAGGTTTGTATAGAAGGATGATTTACAGATATCGCTGTGAAGTATCAAACTAAGGACCTGGTCCGATTGTTTTGGAGAAACTAAATAGTCTAGAATAGCGGGAATCAGGGCTGCTACAAGCAAAAGCTGGCAGTGCATTGCCTAGAGAAAATCTCTCCACTTGGCTCTAAATGTCAGTCTGGTCGAAGGCTTCTTGCTTGAACCTCAGCAGAGCAGCTTTTTTCTGTAGATGTCAGTCAGCCAGAATTCAGGCTGGCAGGTGCAAAGGACATCAGATCTGGTTGTAGAATCTGTCTGCTATTCTGCAAGACCAGATCTGGTTGGACCAGCAAGGTGATGAGTCATTGTACTGACAGGTTCACAAGGGACTAGTACCAAAATTGTCTGGCCCATACTAGGGTTATCATACCTCACTCCATATCCTGCTTCGATTTTCTTAAGACCCAGCGTACTATGGGTATCCTTGAAAAGGTGTACATCAGAGCAGGAGGCCATGGATAAGAAAGGTATCTGAGAAGGAGCCGAAGCTCATGCAACATCTGAAACACAACACTTCTTGTTGTGATTGGCCAAAAATAGGTCCTCAGGAGGGAACTGCCATTTGCTACTAACTCTTAGAGGACTGAAATCTAAAGGGACCACTCGAGGCTCTTGGATAAGTCTCTGCTGACTTGAGGCACCACCATGTGGTGGCTGGGAAGGTGTATAGCTAGCTGAGTAACATGATGATGGATGCACTAATCCCAGAGATGCACGGCTTCCTGGCTGAGGAGAGAGGGATCTGGCACCCCTTGCCTGTTGATGTAGTGCACTGCTGTAGAGTTGTCCATAAACTCTCACATAATTACATCCTGGAGGAGGAGGAGGAAAGTTCTGCATGCTAGTCAGATAGCCTTGAGTTCCTGAACGTTTATGTGTAGGATAGCCTCCTGGGGAGACCACGTCTCTTGAATCTTCAGGTGGTTGAAATGCGCTCCCTACCCCTAGATGGATTCATCTATAAATAGGGTCTTTGCTGGTAGAAGCACTAAAAAAGATACTCTGCTGTGCACCTGGGTTAGATCTCTCCACCAATCTATTGAGGATAGGACTTTGAGGAATCATGACCACCCTGTTCATGCTGTTCCTGTTTAGCAGATGCATTCATCTCAATCACCCGTGCAAGGGCTGTTGAAGGTGAAGCCTGGCATGCTGGGTGGATATGTTGCATTTTGACATGTGCTCAAATGTCTGAGGCAGGACCTCACCAGTTTGCTGGGATGTGTCTGGAGTTAGTTTATGAGATAGAACATAATTTGAAATCTCTTGACGGAGGTACGCTTTTGCCAAGCTGGAATCTAATAGCCCCATGATAAACTCTATATTTTGACCCAGGGTCAGTGTGGATTTTTCCTTGTTGATACTGAGTCCCAGGATGGTGAAGAGGCTTAGTATCCTCTGAAGTGAGTCAGTCACTTGCTGGGGGGTAGAGGGAAATTTTCCCCAAGCTAGCCAGTCTTCTAAGTAGGGATTCACCTGGATTCCTGGTCTTTTTAGATGGGTGTCCGCCACAATTATGACATTGGTGAACACCTGTGGAGCCATGGAGACACCAAAGAGTAGGATTCTGTTGGTAGTCTGATGTCCCTGTGAGAAACTTCAGATACTTACTGTCCCTGGATGTGTTGAGATGTAAAAGTAGGCAGGGTCTGAAGATGAAGAGCCAGGAACCAGACAATGGAATTCAGGGAGAGGATCCTATTCAGAAGGGTATCCAAGAAATGAGGGATGCAGGTATTAAGACAACTGAGACAGAGGATGGATCTCCAACCTCTTTTCTCCT